TAGGGTTTTAAGGCTTAGGGCTTAGGGGTTTAAGCGTTTAGGGCTTAAGTGTTTAAGGGCTTAAGGGTTTTAGGGTTTAGGGTTTAAGGGTGTAGGGTTTAGGGTTTTAGGGTTTAGGGTTTAGGGCCTAAGCGTTTAGGGTTTAGGGTTTAGGGTTTAGGGCCTAAAGGGTTTAGGGTTTAGGGTTTAGGGCCTAAAGGGTTTAGGGTTTAGGGTTTAGGGTGTAGGGCCTAAAGGGTTTAGGATGTCAGAGCCCTGAAAGGGCGGCATGACCTGACTTCGCCCTCTTAAATTGGAAGTCCTGAAAGTTCAGTGAGCCTAGTTTGTGGACACGGAGTGGATTTACATCGACGGCAGGGCTTGTGGTTGCCGCTGGTTATCCTCCGCCTGAGTTCGAAAACCCGAAGACCCTAAAACCAAGACCCTCAACCCGAAAACCCTAATAACCCTAAACCCGAAAATCCTAAACCCTAAACCACTGAACCCTAAACCCCAAAACCCCTAAACCCTAGAAGGCCTATAATTTTCAAACCGACCAAGCGTTCTGCGATGCCTTTTTGGCGGCTCCCTCTCTGAAGCCAAGGCTTCGGGTCTAAGTTACTAGGTGTTGTGAGTATAAGGGTTTAGGGTTTAGGGTTTGGGATTTAATGTTTAGGGTTTATAGGGTAATTTAGGGTTTAAAGTTTAAGGTTTAGGGTTTAAGGTTTAGGGTTTAGTGTTTAGGGTTTAGCTTAATTTAGGGGTTAGGGTTTAGGGTTTAAGGATTTAGGGTTGGGTGTTCAAGGTTTAGAGTTTAAGGTTTGGGGTTTAGGATTCTGAAGGGTCTTATAAGGACCCCCCAAAGGGCCCTTTAATAGAGCCCTTATGGTCCTTAATAGTGGGTCTTTGGGGTTTAGGGCTTAGGGTTTAGGCTGCTACAATAGAGGGTAGCTGGGGGTCTAGGTCTAAACCCTAAACCCTAAACCCTAAACCCTAAACCCTAAACCCTAAACCCTACACCCTAAGGGTTTGTAGCAAGGTCTGATTATCAAGGTCTTCGTGGAGTCTTCACAGGGCTTCAACTCAATGGGGCGTAGTAAGGGGCCCTGAAAGTTCGTACCATGCCACGTTCGGATTTCATTACGGTTCATAAACCCTAAACCCTAAACCCTAAACCCCTAAACCCTTAAACCCTTAACCCCTAAACCCTTAAACCCTAAACCCTAAACCGTTAACCCTTAAACCCTAAACCCTGGAACTTTTGTGCTCAGACTGTGCGGCGGCTCCGGTCTTAGGACTTCGTTCTCCGGGCGTGCGGGGTTGGTGGTCAGGGGCTTGGGGTTGAGGACTGCAGGTGTTCGGGGATTTCTTGGGATGGTGAAGGAGAATTATCAGCTTTCTAAACGGAGGGTTTAGGTTTTAGGGTTTGGGGTATTGGGGACTCCAAACGAAGTAATTAACGACTGCATGCCTGAGATGAGCCTATACTGCGGCAGGAATGGTGGTATATATGGAGTTAAAGGGTTTAGGTCATCGGAAGGGGCTATTTGGTGTGGATCTTCTAGTCCCTCCTTCGGCAGCTCATTGGGTTTAAGCCTGTCTCTTCTTATCAGATTGATGATGTAAGACAGCCAAAGAGAGGGTTTCCGCCGCTTTGATCAGTTTTGCATGTTCGTCCTCTCGAAGAGAGGGTCGAATACAAGAATTGGGGGGGGGTCGGCTTCTAAACTCTATAACCTTAAACCTAAACCCCAAAACGTCCTAGAAGCCCGAGACACTGCTCTTTCGAAGTCTGAGAAGACATCGCTAGCAACAGAGCAACCCCGGAACGGTTTAGGGTTTAGGGAACTCCCCAACCCCATCCGACGAGACCGGAGACCAACGATTCCTGCGAAATCCTTGTGCAGCTACAGTATATCATATACCCCTAAGCCTCACACCCTGAATCCTACGCGCCGAATTATATGATGAGTTGTTATCATATATCATTACAGCATATATTACAGCCCTGTACTTTGAATCCTACACGCCTTTCATTGCCCGAAACCCAGCTGCAAACCTTTTAGGCTCCCATCGTGGGTCCATGCCATGACCCGATCCCCCGAAGCTACCAATCACACCGGTGCCGTTGGAGTCCGCCACCAGTCCCATGGAATGATTCAGACTTCGATAAAGGCTAGGTGCTTGGGGTTTGAATTATTGAAATGCCCTTCCGTGCACTTCTGCCCGATGCTTCGAGACCTGTAGGCGAGTACGATTCTAGGGGTTTAGGGTTTATTTAGGGTTTAGGGTTTAGGGGTTTAGGGTTTAGGGTTTAGGGTTTAGGGTTTAGGGTTTAGGGTTTACAGTGATGATTTTGTTGCAAGGATCGCTTCTCTTTCCCCCCTTTCGGTGTTCTCTATTCGGGTCTGACCTTTTGCAGCCGGCGCTCCCCTAAACCCTAAACCGGTTAAGGTTTAGGGTTTAGGGTTTAGGGTTCAGGGTTTAGGGTTTAGGGTTTAGGGTTCATAGACTTCGAGGGTATAAAGTGTATTATGAACCCGGCACTCTGAACCCATCCGAACCCTGAGCAGGCACCTTCATCCGCCGGGCATAACCTAAAGCAAGTCCCTCCCATCGCCCCATCGCCCCCCTTGGACTCCAGAACAGCGGTACGGTTGATGATATAATTCCTGCACTACCCATAATAAGGAATATACCAGAACTCCCATAGTTTAGGGTCCTGAAGGTAATGCAGGCTTATCATCAACAGTAGGATGTTGGTTTCACCGTGCGTCGTTCGCAGACCCGGGATGGCAGAGGCGAAGAAGTTGTCTAATGTAGGGGCCTCAATCATTAGAATAGGGTTTTGGGGTCTTTATACTATGATTATATCAGGAACCACCCAAAACCATATTGGAATTATGAAGGCCCCCTACATTAACAGGGATCAGGGCTCAGGGTTCTTGGCTGATGGTGGAGATTCGAGGTGGTCTCAGTTTGCGAGGCTTTGGGCTTGGTGTTTAGAGGCACTCGCAAATCGCATCTCCAGCTGATGAGATTCCGTGCATGCCCATGCCTGAAATTTGGTCTTGTATCTAGACTTGGCTTGCAATTTCGAGAGAAGGTGCATCAGGGCTGCTTGGATTCAAGGCTGTGCGATTGCTGATTTCGCACAGTTTCACAGAGCAGCCGGGTTTCTTTTGAATATGTTTGTACCCATAGGCCCCATAGTAGTTCCTTTTTGGGATTACCTTATAGGATTCTGTCTGAATATGAACCCCCAAAAAGAACTACGATGGGGCATATGGGTAGGGCCATGGAAACCAAAGGAACCCTAAACACTAAACCCCATGGAAACCAAAGGAACCTCCACGTATCGCGGCACAATCTGCAGCTTGAAGCCGGCTCGGAGAATAGCTGGCAAGCTTGTGCTGGGCTTCAGGCATGACAAAGAGTCCCTTGCAAGTAATGCAGGTCCTTAAACCCCCACCCTGAAGGGTTTAGGGTTTAGGGTCAAGCCCCACATACCACCCAAACCTTCAACCTTGTGTGAGCCCCAAATCCTTCAACTCCTAATATAGGTGCCTTCATGATTGCCTATACTCTTTTGGGGGCTCCTTATTATAGTTATAGGATAATGGGCCCCAAAACCTGATTCTAATTAGTGAGGCCCCTATATTATCACATTGCTAAGAAGCTGCTTGGACTACACGACTAGGCTGAGAGGACTTCGTCGGGTCGTAGCAGCAAAGCCTCCGTTCCTGACGATGGCGTCCAGCGCGACACAGCCGGACGTTTTCCTGACGCACCCCATCTTTAACAGTCGGGCTGAGTGCGGGCTTGTGTTTGAAGGTACATGGTCAGTGTGTGTGAGTGTGCAGATGTGTGTGTGTGTGTGCTTCGTGGTGGGCTTCTAGCAGAAAACGAGTACCAGTTTGTTCACTTCCTCAGACCGATTGGTGCCCGCGTGCATGCCAAGGTACTTGTTGGCACTGCCCCGCTCGGTCACGAGTTCAAGTTGGAGGACCCTGACGCCCTTGCCAGGTAGGAAATAATGTATCTCATAAGGCCATGATGACAAATTTCGGTTTCATCCCCCTGCCATGAAGTGCTGCTGCTTGCTAGTCTGTGTCAACCAGCCAGGACCCTGAGCCGATTGAAGCTCCTGCGGAAAAGTTTCAAGGGCACCGAAGTCCGAGTCCACGCTCCGGCGACGGAGGGCTCGCCTCAGGCGCGCGAGAGGCGAAGACGAGGCCGGCCTGGGGGATGGCCTCCTTTTCGACATAGGTGGGATATTCGGTCGATGCATAGAGACTGCAAGCTGCACCCGACCCTGTGGACGCCACCGGATGATCGTTTCTACTTGGAGGTCAGATGTCGGACTTCTCAGCTCAGTGCTTTCCTCAGCGAGGCCATCGTCCTACTCGGGGAAAATGTGCCAGAACAGGTATGGATGGTCTTGCGATCAGGCTTAGTTGCCTGGCTGGACAAGTACGAGAGTTCCATCCTGGGTGCTTCGCGCGAGCTCGGAAGAGTGACAGGTCATCATCTTGACTGCCCAGCCAGTTTTGCTGATCTTTCGCCAGCCTTCAGTCTTGTGATTAGAGAGGCCGCATGGGATGTGACACAGCCTTCCCTGTCGATAAGCCAGCTTGCGGAGACGGCGATATTGGTCTCCCGGATTTCCTTGGAACTGCTTGTGATGCATCTGAATGGCTGCTGGGATATCGAAGACGTCCTTCTTACCACCTGGGGGAGAAATCATCTTCAAGAGTTGGAGGCATCACAGAGCGTGTTGTTTGTCAAGTGCACAAACGCGGGCAGTCCGTTTGCACGCCCCACTTGGCGACCTGACAGGCTGGGCATCCTGGCAAGAAGCCATCAACATGCTAGTGCAGCTGCGGCTGATTTGCGCCGGTGTGTAGTATACAGTTACAATGATCATCTTCTGGAACCTCCGCCCTCCACACGGCTGGGTGTGCTATGGTATGGAGACTGGGAGACATGGGAGCCTCTGGACGACATTGACACGTGGTTCAGCTTGGCAGACCACTTAGGTTCGTTTCACTCGCGCGACTTATTGGCATTCCTGAAACCATGGAGCGTCGGTTGTGTAACGTGGTTCGAGGATGACAATGGTTGGTACCTCTTTGACATAGATGGCATTGAAAATATGGAGGATGCGGTTGCAGCGCTTTCGAATGCCCGTCTTCGTTCATCCCTTTCCCATGAACGATTCCGGGAAGAATGCATCTGCTGCGACCAATACGACCTTCTGTTTATTTGTGCCAGGCACCTGCTGGAGTCTGCACCCTCAGGAAGAACCTTTGGTCGGTATCGTTTCGGTGTTGCCAGCAAGACCGGTGCTCTGCCCAGATTTCACGAGGCTCTTTTCAGGTTTTCGGTGAAAAAGTTGCGGACAGGTTTGGATACATCAGAAGGAAACCTACAAGCATCACAAGAAGAGCTTGCAGAGCTTCGGGCGCAGCAGCTGCAAGCACGTACGGAGAAAGCAGAGCTGGAGCAGCGCGTGCAGCAGTTGGAAGCTCGCTTGAGGACCTCAGAAACGCAGCTTGGGGCTATGTCGTGGCTCTTTCCCACCTTTCCAGAAGTTTCCGAGTTTGCAAGGAGCATACCCACACTGCGACCTTTCGACGGGAATCGTCTCCTCCCGGTCCTCGCGCTGCGCTTCACCCATAAGGCCGTGAATGCCCACTTCGCCTTCGGGGAGGAGCACGAAAATCGGCAAGAGTCCATCTTCAAGCTGTTTCTGGGCTTCTTCATGGGGCACCTGAAACCTGAAGAGCTCGAGCCTCTTTACGTGTTCAAGCACCAGGGCCCCGATGGCACCATGGGGCTCTACTCGCGGAACAACCGTCGCCTGGTGGCCTTGCTCATGTTTCAGGCACGGGATTCCAAGAGTTGTGGGCTTATCCATAAGCCCTGAATCCTAAATCCTAAACCCGAAACCCTAAACCGATTCTAGGGTCTAGCACGCTTGTTGCATCGGTGGCTTGTCTGTTGAGGAAGCTTGCCACTGGGGATGCTGGCATTTCGTTGCCGGCATGTCGTTTCATAGGGTTTAGGGTTTAGGGACATGGCGATGAGTTTCAGAAGGTAAGTCTTCACGGTGTAGGATTCTCAGAAAGGTATATTTGCTTTATGAAGCAAAGCCCCTCCAATTGAAAGCCCCGGCATCCCAGCTAGCCAAACCGATGGGGCCTGCCGCTGTGCAGGCTGTTCGTCGAGATCAGATGGTGCCTTGTCACATCCTCCATTAATCCATGTAGCCTCATAGCATACTTGCTCTGTGACGTTCAAGTACCCTAGACCCGCCCTAGACCCTAAACCCCAAAACCCCTAATTAAACCCTAAACCCTAGACTGTAAACCCTTTGTGTAGGAAGCCCTTTTCGGTCGTATATGCAGCATAGGCGCATGGGGGGCTTAGAGCCCAGGGTACTGGGACAACTCGTAGGTTTAGTAAGAGCTCAGGGTTTAGGGTTCAGGGTTTAGGGTTTAGGGAGGTGAACCCCTAGCAAGCGGTCAACCCTAGCCTGCGTTTCATGCCGATGTTTCGATGCGGCTCCCCAAACGGTAGAGCATTCGCATGTTCATGGTTTGGTTGCGAGACCTGTTGCATGCCTTGTCGGAGTGCACGTTTTCCAGTCCCTCCCAATTCGAAGACGGCTGGGCAGCTTAGACAGAGTCCACATGATGATAAGCTAGTAATTTGGAAGCAGGGTGCTTGAACCACGATAGTTCGACAACGACTTCAGTCGAGGACGACTCTTGCGAAAGAAGTGCGCTGAAGTATAGTCCACCCAACCCAGGTCAGGGTCCCATGCAGAGTATTGGATTCGAGCGACCAGCGATGGGAAGCACCTGGAGGACATGAACTCGCTGTCCATTTGAGGGTCTCCAGTTTTCCACGTAAGTTTTGTTCCGAGCACTTCTTTTTGTTGTGATGTACAGTTGGTTTCAACTCGTTTTCGGTTGTGAAGGCAGAAGATTCGATCAGTGGTTTCACGAGGGCTACGACGGCGGCACCGGCCTTTCCATCAACCCCAGACCGGGGAGGCAGCGGGAGGCCCAGCATCGGGGAACTCTAAACCCTAGAGCCCTAAACCCTACACTCTAGACCCTAAAACCCTAAAGCCCTGAACCCTAAACTCTACACCCTAAAACCCTAAACCCTACACTCTAAACCCTAAAACCCTAAACCCTAAACCGTAAATCCTAAACCCTAAACTCTACGCCCTTAAACCCTAAACCGTACACTCTAAACCCTAAACCCTAAAATCCTAAACCCTAAACTCTAGACCCTAAAACCCTAAACCTCAAACTCTAGACCTTAAAACCCTAAACCCTAAACTCTAAACTCTAAACCCGAAAACCCTAAACCCGAAACTCTAAACGCGAAACTCTAAACCCGAAAACCCTAAACTCTAAACCCTAAAACCCTACACCCTAAACCCTGGAAGGCCCAGCATCGGGGCTATCCGCTCTTCAACCCGGCCCGCACGGCCATCCAAGCGTTGCATCGGGCTTCCAGCCGGGCCAACGACAAGCTGGCGGGAGTCTGGGTTCTTGTTAATATCCCTAAGGCTCCATGTGCCCATATAGTAGTAACTTATGCCTTAAAGTACCTATATAGGGACCCCTTTAAGGCTTAAGTATCGACTATATGGGTACATGGAGCCTTTGGAAATTATAAGGAGCTTAATAAGTTGAAAACACACCATTGGGGGAAGTATTCTTGTTAATAAACGTAAGGAGCTTATTGATTTCATAATACAACTATAGGGGAAGTAGATAATATGGCTTCCTTCTTATGATTACGGTAACTCAAGCTCCTTCAGAATGGGTTCTTGTTCAGGAACTTAGCTTAAGTTACCATAATAGGACTTAATAGGGACCTAGGGACAGGATCTATAGCAAACATTAGGGCTTCCTTGTTGATAATGACAACTGAAACTCAATCTCCCTCAGAAGAACCCATGAGTTAATTGAAAACACAATAATGGGGGAAGTGAATAATTAATATGGTTTACTTCTTATGGTAATTCTAAGAGGATCTATAGCAAATATCTAGGTTTCCTTGTTGATAATGACAACTTAAACTCAATTCTATAATACAATGATAGGAGAAGTAGATAATATGGTTACCTTATTATGGTAATGCTAAACCCTAAACCCTAAACCCTAACTCAAACTCCTTGAGAAGAGCCCAGGAGACCTCGCGCAGATGCTCCTCCGACATGTCCACACCCGCACGGGCCAAGGCGACGAAGAGACGACTGAGCACGGCATCGCAGGTGCTGAAAAGGGTCGCAGGGTTTAGGGTTCGGGGTTTAGGGTTTAGGGTTTAGGGCAGGTGCTGAAAAGGGTGACATGGAATCAGGGCATGAAAAGAGGTCGGAGCTTCCTGGGTGCTCTAATGATAAGTGCAAGCCATCACTGTCACTATGGATGACGTCAAAGTCAGAGCTGAACATGCCAAGACTCGCATGGCTGGCTTGAGGGATTCCGAGCATAATCTTCGCTGAATGAGCAGGACTAACGACGCCGATGTCTCTCTGCAGCCTTGCATCATAAGCCGGTGTGTACTCCCAACTGAGAGTCATAAGCGTCGGGCTCGGACAGCCCTGTAGATTTGGGCTAGCCGGAGTGGTCCTCGCACTTCAGCTCTCTCGTGGAAGCCACTGCATCCAAGCCCGTGGTTTCTTGCAAGCAAGCTGTATGAATCCAGACCCGAGGGTCAATGCCAGCGCAGACCCTAAGCCCTAAACTCTACTGCCCCCAAGCCCTAAAGCTTCAACCTACAAGCCCAGCAGCCTAAAACCTAAATCTCCAAACCCAGAATAGACCTGAGTAGACCTTAAGACAGCCTTGGCCCAGTCCGTCTAAAATTATGAGATGTGAGACTGCCCTGGGGGAGTCCAAAAAGACGTTAGAGGCCTCAGGCGTGGGTACCGAGCTCTCATGCCGTTGCATGGCGCTGGGCCGGCTGTCTGAAGAGCAGTATCGTCAGCCGAGCTCGCCAGTTTATGGATTCCCATGGACTAGGGTTTAGGATTTAGGGTCTGGGGTTTAGGGTTCTAGGGACGTCTGAGAGTGTCTATATATGAACCCCAAAAAGGGTTTAGGGCCATCCATACACCGTACACTCTACCCATAGGCCCCATAGTAGTTCCTTTTTGGGGTTACCTTATAGGATTCTATATATGAACTCCTAAAAGGAACTACTTTAGGGCCTAGGGGTATGAACTCGAACCCCAATACCCAAAACATTGATCGTCGGGCCCTGGACCCCCAAGAGCCTTCCTGAATGGCAGGTTTGGCACCGAGATCATTCCTGGCTTCCTCTTCCTGACCAGCCAATTTGAGGAATCGCTTTTTCTGGAGATTTGAGGTTTGAAATCCCCCAAATCCTACTTTCTTAGTGGGAATTCTGAGGTCTTTCGTCAGACATCGGCCGTCAACTGACACCAAGCCCAAGACATCACCAACCCACCTTGACGTGTGGTGAAGCCTAGTCCATCCGTGGCCAACGCGACAGGCCCGCGCAAGGACAAAGGAAACATGCGCTGTCCATCCTTACAATATGCCTAGTCCATCCTTACTATGTTTTTAGGGGACCGAATTCCATAATGATCGTATATTATGGACCCTCTCGGGCACATGTTCTCTGGCAGCCCATGCAAGTGAGGCCAAACGAACTGAGGCGCAGCAAGGCCATCGACACTGCGAGAACCATGCCGACGTGTTCTTCTACAGAGCATGTCAACAACACATCGGGCAGTTCAAAACCCTAAACCCTAAACCCCTAAACCCCTAAACACCTAAACCCTAAACCCTAAACCCCTAAACCCCTAAACGCCTAAACACCTAAACCCTAAACCCTAAACCCCTAAACCCCTAAACACCTAAACCCTAAACCCCTACACCCCTAAACCCTAAAAACACTGAAACCCATCTAACAAACCTAAACCACGGACCTTCCCACGCGGGCAGCGAAGCCCAAAACCCTACTGGGTTTAGGGTTTAGGGTTTAGGGTTTAGGGCCCTCAACTCGATACCCGGTGACAGGCCAAAGATCCCGCCTTCCTGAAGCAACATGGCATCACGCCTCTTGGTTTGCAGGTTTTTGGAGGTAGTTTCGGGATGTTTATATAGGGCCTTTTAGGGTTTGGGGTTCAACAGCAGAGCATGATACATGATGGCAAAGCATGTGGTACCTACTTCCTATGGTTCTTCTATGTTCTTCCTGTTCGTGGCCTCTTCGGCGTCTTGACCTGGATCACTTCTTGTCACTGCGCCCTTTCTCTGAAGGACATTGGACATGTCTGCAATCTGTGTCTGTTCGCTGGGTGGTTCATAAAGTCAGCTTTGCATCGGAGTGTCTCCGCATACTTCTGCAACAGGCACCTCGTCAGCGTGGCAGAGGTGGCGGGGTGCGGGGGGTTTCACAAGCGACATGCAATACAAACAAGTACGAAGGGCAGGAGAACTGAGGGTCAGATGCTTTCAGTTCAGTCTCTCGGACATCAGGGTTTAGGGTTTAGGGTTTAGGGGTCTGAAATCATGCAGGTTAAGTCTCTAGGCGATGGCGACGTTGGAGTCATTTGCGGCGCCATCTCTCAACTACATCCCTCTTACTCTCTCATCATGCAACCTGAGCCTGCGCCTCGTGAAAGCCTTCGCTACAACGATCCCTTTTAGACCCTTAAAACAACTCCCATCCCACTCCTGTTCTGAGCTTCTTCACACCACACTCTCGGCCCGCACTGCCATACCCACGTAGGGCCTAAGGTTCAGAGTTCAAGGTTATAGGGTTTAGGGTTATAAACAACAAATCCAAGCAGGAAAGCCCGCCTGTGGTGCCGTTGCCGGGCAAGTCTTTGCACTTGGCACTGCGCGATTCTCCTCGAACAGATGCCCCCTGCCTGGAGCTGTCTGGTGAAAGTTGGTTTTCATATAGCACAGAAGCCTGAATAACTAGCAAATCATTTGCTTATTAACGTTCTTGCTTAATGTTGTGTACACCATGACAGACTTGAACCCCTATCTCGGAACCTTCCTGGTACTTACAGGATCATGGGACTTGGTAAGTATATTGTTGGGGTAACCATACTTATAATGACTTCTAGCCCAAACTAGGTGCTTATAGCCATACTTACTAAGTTACATAGTCCTTAGAACCCGAAACCCTTATAGAACCCTTCAAGGAAAACATTGAAAGTTACTTAGTCCCATGCTCCTCCAAGTAA